AATGCCTGACCCCATTGTTGGGAAAGCACCTCCTAACGAAGGTGGGAACAACCATTTCTATGCATAAAGCTCAGGGTAACCTTGAGGAAGGGAAAGAATTAGAACTAAGCCTACTGGTTTTAACAGAAGAAGAAAACCAATCCTCCAAGGACAAGATCCCCAAATTTATAAAAGACCAGGTGAACCCGGTAGTATGGGATACCTCAGTCCCAGACAGGGCAAGAGATGCCCTCCTGGTGGTTGTCAAACTCCGGCCTGGAGCTGAATACCCCTGAAAAAAAAAAAAAACCCTAAAACCATAGGCCCAAAAGGGAATCTTCCCAGTACTGCAAAGGCTCTTAAGACAGGGCCTTGCATTGGGAGTCTTGACCCAACAAGTAGGTCCAGCTACTTGTCCCACTGCATACTTCTCAAAACAGCTGGACCCTGTGGCTCAAGCCTGGCCTAACTGCCCTAGAGCAGTGGCCCTTTTCTGCTTTACCAATAACACTCGTGCAAATACAACTTGCTCTCCCGGATCAAACACAATCTATAGTGAAGGAGGCCTCTTAAGTTTTCACTAGGACAGCCCCTAGAGGTCCTCACCCCTCACCAACTATGGACAGTACTGGCAAGTAAAAGGAAACCAGTGGCCTACTGGGGGCCATATCACTCAATATCAGGCCATTCTACTAGACACCCCTGAGGTCACCCTAAAAGTATGTCATACTTTAAATCCTGCACCTCTCCTCCCAGTGACTGATGTGACTGTATTAGAACACGATTGCGTAGAAATAATAGACCAGGTTTATTCAAGTAGAGAAGACCTAGAAGACGTTGCCAGAGCCCCCCCGGAGTACATCTGTGAGCTGATCGAAGATCTCAAATTCCTTTTCAAGAAAACAGCCCTGGCCAACAGATGAGTAATCCTAATGATAGAGTAGCAGCTATGTTAGGAGTCACTTTTGTCCTTGTTCTCTTATCTTTTTCATTTTGGCCTTTTCCTGTCAAGTTCCCTTCTTGGGGTCTGATTACTTCCCTTAGTGTTAAATTATGGGCCTGAGTAGTCTTCTCTTTCTTGGCCTCCAATTTGGTGCTGCCGCCCTGCCCTGGGGAAATAACTCATTAGTTCGCATGTCTGAGAGCGCAGTCCAAGGCAGTAACCTCTCTAACTGTTGGATATGCCATCATAACCCAAAAGACAGATCTGGAGGAGGGTTCGGATTACTGCGAGTTCCAATTTCCCCTAAAAAATTGACTCAAAATCAGATCCAACCCCATTCCCAAAACCCAGAGGCACCAAAGTCACCATCCTCAGGATCATCTCCACTCCTGTCCATCGTGAAGGGGTCCCTGGGTGGGCTACTGCTTGTTTTAATCCTCCAGGCCTCACGTGGGACATTAACACCGAGCCAGCCATGTGAAATGTGATGCGTAATCATGGCTGCTACCTGCAACAATATTCCACTGGCAGCAAAAATTGTAACTATATTCTTTTGAATGCCTGCTGGACCAGGCCCAGAGAACTGTCCTTTTCTGCTTTACCAATAACACTTGTGCAAATATAACTTGCTCTCCCAGATCAAACACAGTCTATAGTAATGTTATGACTGTTACACATCCAGGAACTGAGTGTAGCCAGGCAACATCATTGCTTGGAATAAGTGGTATAAAGAGCAGATAAATAAAAATCCTGCTCCCCAATGGGAGATCTTCCAAGGTCAATATCCAGGAAGCAATACCATCACTTCTTGACTTATACATAAATGGCTTCTTAGTAACCCTGACCTAAATCCAGATGATGCCACAAGTTGGAAAAATATCTCACAATTGTTATGCCTACCACAAAGTACCATGTTTTTGTGTTCTGACAGTAAGAGACAAAGCTGGGCCCTTTCGTGCCTCAATCTCACACAGGTTAGGGGAATCTGCACAGTTGGGTGGGTGGGGCCAAAAGATGACCAAATTCAGGTATACCAAGAGTTAATAGCTTTACCCTCACCTGGGACTCGCTCTGGTTTATCCTGCGTCAAAAGAGAGCCAATCACTCCAGTAGCGCTTGGAATAACAACTCTAGTGACGGTATTGGGAGCCTTAGCAGGACGGGTAATACACAATGCAGTCACTTTATCAAATGTCTCTATCATAGTTGAACAAGTGGCCGAAGACTCAGGACAGAGTCTCCGGGCTATACAGAAATCCCTAGATTCTCTTGCTACCAAGGTGATGGATCATAGACTAGCCCTGGACTTCTTATTGGCTGAACGGGGAGGGGTCTGAGCAGTCGCCAACACTTCCGTTGTTTTTATGTCAACACCTCCCAAGAAGTTGAACTTAGGGCAACCAGATTATTAGAAAACGCCAAATGGCTGAAAGAAACCAGGTCAAAACTAGCTTCCTCCGTATGGGACCAAATTAAAGGGTATTTGCCTTCTCTAACCTGGTTTTTACCTTTATTGGGACCTGCGGTAGCCGTTCTTCTCCTCCTCCTGTTTGGCCCCTGCCTGTTTCAGCTTTTGGTAAAGTATGTGTCTTCTAGGCTGCAACAATTCCAAGTTAAGCTAATGATGATGCAGGATTTCGAACCCATCCCGGATAGTGAGATCGCTGGCACTCACAAGTCTTTAAAGCAGGCAGACAGAGATTTTTACTCAGACAGGCCAGCGCCCCTTGACGGCTTGAAGAAGCTACAGAAGACAAGACCTCCGACCTAATTCCCTTTAAGAATAAAGACTATACATCTTTCAGGGGGGATTGAGACAGGGTTAACTGTGCTGTCAGAATAAAAGAGCTGTTAAAACACTACCACCTAGAAGTTGGGTAAACAGGACCACCTTAAATAAGGTTACAACAACCGGTGAATTACTACTTCCTCCTTAGT